TTCCCCCCCTGTAGTCCTACACACAGTATTAAATTGGTCATTACCCCTAAATCCAATATTTTATTATTATTATTATTATGTTGACTTACATGTTTAATATCCAGTTCAGAAAGTGTTTAGAAACTTCTTACTAACCATAAAATAAGCTGTCGAATATATTTCTGTATACTGTCAGTTCTCTCTTTCCTAATAACAATGTATTTTGATGCGTTTCCATGATTTGGTCCCAGGCATGATGCGACATTCCTGATGGAGGAAGGAGAAGGCTCGATGAAGCCTCATGGCAATGGAACTGTGACATTCATCCTGTAGAAAGATGAGGGTGACGGTGAGGGACGCCTTGGTGACAGCTCTGGAGAACTTGAAGAAGAACGGATTCAAGAAGTTCCAGGCCAAGTTATGTGACATCGATATCAGAGAGAGGTATAGGAAGATCCCGAGGAGCCATCTAGAAGACAAGAACCGGAGCGATGTGGCCGATCTCATCAGGACCTACTACAAGGATGTCTATGGGGTTGAGTTGACGTTGGCGGTTCTTGATGCCATCAACGAGAAACTGGTGGCAGAAGAACTTCGCCGGGACTTGAAGAAAGGTGAGAAAATCAGCAATCAGGGATAAGACACAATGAAGAAGCTTAAAGGAGACCTATGAGGTGAGTGCCAGCGCTGACTGGCGAAACGGACGGGGGAGGGGGCGGGTACAGCTGGCTCTGTCTCTAGATAGGCAGAGCCAGCTGTCACTCACGCAGCTGGGCGGATCTCGACATCGATGTCGGGATCCGCTGCGGCGTCTCAGTATACCGCGAGCTGTAGCTCGCGGTATACTGAGCCCAGGGTGATGGGAGGACGCTAGTTTGTGTCCTCCCGTTTCCCTAAGGAGAACTATGGGGGAAAGCCCTGACCCCATAGTTCTCCTTTAACGTGTATCTGAGGCTACATTGTACTGTAGTTCTGTATGGTGTTGAAACTTCTGTAAGGTTTTTATTGCAATGTCCCTGCTGGGGAGATTTCCCCGCTCAATAATCTCCGGGACAGAAAATGATGGGAGATCCAAATTTTACTGTTTTCTCTGGAACAGGAATAGAGGAGAATTTTACCCAATACACAACGGGCATGACTGTTCCAGTGACAACTGTGTCAAAGGGGAATTTGCTTCATTTTGTAGAGATTTCCTCCCACTTCCTGTTGTGTCTTTTAGCCAGGAAGGAGAAATCTCCCAAATGGAGAAATAACGTCACCAGCACTCCAAATAATATTTTAGCAATAGTCCATTTATTGACACATTGCCATTCAATGCATCTCCCAAATGGGACACAAAAAGAAACATGATCAACCCCTCTCTACTAGTAACGGCTTCATACCCGAATGGCTTCATAATAACAGTATTGATGACAGCAACCAGTCGTATAAAAGTCAACAGCTCCTAATCATTATTTTGATGTTCTTATTTAATTTAATTGGCTCAATTTGCTAAGTTCAAATGCGTGAGTTATTTCCCATAGGGATCGCCATTCTCAGCCTGTCAATGTATTCTGATTGGCTCTGGTTGCTCAAAATATTGGTTATTACAATCTTCATAACTCAGTAAATTGAGCTTTATATATGATGGAGCTCCAATGGTCCAAGTAAAAACCAAAGTTGAGCTTCAAGTCGGGAACTCCTGATCTGTATACTTTATCTCAATTTGTGGTTCAAAAGCAACACCAACACCACCAACATCAGCATGACAGCCGGGGAACCGGCGTGTTCAGAAGGAGGTGTCGGCAATTTTGCGATGCTGTAGAACTCAGCATAGGCTTTCTTTAGTATTTGTAGGTCGCTTTGATGGTTTATCTAATGTATTTATTTATATATTTATTTCCAGTGGAGCGATTTGTAAGACAAAGTGAAATACAGGAAGGAAAAACTACAGCTCCTACAGGTGAGGAAGAGCTGTGTGTGTGCTCAATGGGTGCAAGACAGAAGGTTGGAAGATTTGATAGATTGGTGGAAGGATTAGAACCTCTGTCAGGATAATTTCGCCATCTGTGTCCTGTAAGAAAAATGTCCTCTTGTTTCCTGTTCCATTGGCCATACAGGAAGTGACACGATGCTCAGGTGTAAACGGGCAACATTGAAAATATTGGGATTCTTCATGTTGAGTGTTGTCGCACTTAAAGTGACATTAAACCCTCAGATTTTTTAACATAAACCAATACTGTAATGTGTGCCTTACTGTAATCCATGGTCGTTTCCCTTCTCTTTGCTGCTCTTCCTTTTAAATACTCATCTCTTCTCATGCTTGGGTAGAACTTCTGTTTTGCAGCAGACTGTCTTGTCTCTGAAATGGATACATGGTGTCTGTGTGTAGGTTCACAACCTGAGCCAGCACTACAGGAAGAGGCACTCAGCTGCAAAGAGAAGTTCTCCCCCAGCATGAGAAGAGATAAGGATTTAAAAGGAAGAGCAGCAAAGAGAAGGCAAACAACCATGGGTTACAGTAAGGCACACATTACAGTATTGTTTTATGTTAAAAAATCTGAGGGTTTAATGTCACTTTAAGGAAACACGAGACAAAACACTTAGGTCTGAATGGAGGCTTATAAAGAGAACGTTTCTTAAATTATTAACCCCTCTCCGTCTCTAAGTATTATTATTATACAGGATTTATATAGCGCCAACAGTTTGCGCAGCGCTTTACAATATAAGGAAGACATTACAATCACAATACAAATCAAGACAAGATGGTAAGGAGGGCCCTGCCCCTGAGGGCTTACAATCTAAAAGGGAGGGGCCAGTGATACATGAGGAGGGAGCTGTAAGGGGAAGAATTATTTTAGAACGTGATGGTTCGGTGGTTAACAGAAGTAACAGAAAGAGCTTTTGCTATCGCTCAGTCAGTTTGGACAACAAACACCTCCTCCTTTCCTCGCCTCCATTATATAGGGAGGATCGGTTTTGTGGCTCACAGAAGATGCTGTGAAAGGCGATAACAATGATTGAGATTAAAGTTCAGCTCACAGGAAGTTAGAAGGACTCTGAATCTCTAGCAGGATCATAGTTACATAGTATTTGAGGTTGAATAAAGACACAGGCCCATCAAGTTCAACCTATTGCGTGTCTGTGTGATTCTGCATGATTATGCGTGTGTACGAGTCCCTGTGTGATAAGAGTACCTGTACCCCTGTATGTTACGGTCTCTGAGGAAATTGTCCAAATGCATTTTGAATGATTCAACACTCTCAGCTGATACCACTGCTTGTGGCAGCGAGTTCCAGACCCTGACCGCTCTTACTGAGAAGAAACCCCTTCGCCCCTTGTGGTTAAATCTTTTCTCCACCAGTTTTAGGTGGTGGCCTCTCAACAGATATTTTTTTGTAAAGGCAGAAAATGTTTTTGGCCTGAAAGAAAATAAAAGAAATGCAGCCAGCACATCTAAGGTCTTGTGTGCTACAATATATGACATTTTTGTTTTGGGGCTTGGATAGATTCTACAGTGTGTTCTGTAGATAAGAATTGGGCGTTTCTTTGCTCTGGTTGTCATGAAACAATATGTTACCATTCTCCATGTTCATCTTTCCAGCCGGACGGGTGATAAGAAGTCTGTGTGACTCCGGTGAAGTGAGATACTCGCTCACTCTGGAGGGATTTTATCCCGGATACCTTCACTTCAAATGGACGTGTGGAGAGACGGAAGATACTGACATTATATCATCCCAGGAACACTACACAGACAATAATAATCTATTCACAGTCTGCAGTGAGGTCATTATTCCTCAGACTGACCTGACATGTTCCGGATCCACAGTGAACGTCCACTGGGAACACGAATACACCGATAGCACTGGGCGTGAAAAGATGTGTATCAGAGATTCAGGTGAGAGAGGAGTCGCACCATCATCTAAATCCCTGCGGTCCAGGGGGGCCTTAGCTGTAGCAGCCCTTATTGTTCGGTCATCTGACCCTTGTAGACAGTAGTCTGTGTTTTCCTTACCTAAGTGCAAAACAAAAAGTTTCTGAACTGATCTTTTATTTATAAGTTTTGAATTACTTGTATAAAATCTTCATTTTAGATTGAAATGTTGAATCGTGGGTGCTTCTGTGGCATTGTGCCCACTGATTATTTTGGGTTTTCCAGTAAGAGGGCCCAGCAGTAGCTGCTTAATTTTGGACTCTCTCTCTCTAATTGAGACTCTATAGGGGGTCCTTTAAGATAGAGACAATGAGGGGATTGGCAGCCCTACTCAGCTTTGCGTGTGCTCTAAAATGAAATAATTAGCAGAAAATGACATTGTATAGAGATAAAGAACACGAGTTAGCTGGGACTAAAGCTCTGCCTACACTAAAACATATTCCTACACAATATTTTGCGTAATATATAAACATTTTACAGCTTGGCATGTATGTGTCCAGCACTATGTCATATATTAGTGGGTTGGCTTATGTTGTGTGCGGGGTGCCAGGCAAGCATAGATACTTTGGTCATATAGCCTGATATACATTGGTATTGCAAGCAGGGGCATCCCGAGGCCGAGTGTCAACCAGTCTCCAGACCGGGTGACACCCCGCCGTGTCGTCATCACGCATCTGATTGATGCCTGCCGGCGGCCATCTTAGTGATGGACGCGGGCAGAGAGAGGAGGGGACGTTCACCCAGCGCGATGAGGAATGCCACAGGGTCCCCACCTCTCTCCTGACACTGTCGGGCTCTCAGTCCATGACTGAGTGCCCGACCTTTTAGAGGGGGTGACACCAAAATGACTGACAGTCATTTTGGTGTCACCCCTCCAATGGTGTCACCCGGGTGCGGGCCGATCCACCCCGCACCCCCCTTGTGACGCCACTTGAGTGCAAGCTTGCTTTTTGTAATCTTAGCATTGGTTTATTTTAAGGATTAGAATGTTTATTCTGTAGGTATGATATATTATATAATAGTGATTTCTTTATAATAGATTTCCCTTGGCGTCCAGCTGTAGAAGAAGTACAAGTGCCGCGCTTATTTCATGACACCCTAGTCACCCTGCAGTGTGACATCTCAGGGTATTACCCAGATGCCGTCTCTGTGACCTGGCTGAGAAAGAACAAAGAGAATCAGGAGATATGTGAAGATTCTGCTTCCATCCCACAAACCTCATCACATAAAACCACAGATAACACTTACAGCTGTACAGCGAGGCTGACAATCACACCGACACTGAGAGTCCACCAGGGGGCAGAGTACATATGCAGAGTGCAGCACCCTTCACTGCAGAAAGCCATCGAGAAAAGCACGGGGAGGCTCAACATGATAGGTGAGCATTACATATCAACAGTAATGAAACATGTTTTTTTGTCTGATATTTAATAAAATCTATTTACAAATAAATCAAGAACAACATTTCCATCAGCGGCTGAGCTATTATTTTGAGGCACAAAATTGTCATCTAAGTTCCTTCAGTAAAGCATCACCTGAAATGAATTTCCTTTCTAAGGATGATCGGGGTTCCAGCATTCCTTTGATGGCATAAAGATTGGTCCTACGCTATCAAAAAAATTCAATCATCTGCTCATGAAAATTTCAAACAGGGAAAACAAAGAAGATAGATCACATGTATCTTTCCTGGAATGGACGCCGCCAGCCTGCTCTTTATTACAGAGATACAACTGCCTGAAGAACCTTTGAAAACCAACACTTCCAGGTGTGTTGGATTCTTTGTACTCCCATTGTGGTTCCGCCCAGAAGTGACCTAGGGAGCAGGTAGTTCACACAGCACAGCATGGGACCAAGCAAGCGGCACATCTAGAAGTGTGTTGAATGCTAAGGAACCTTGAGGCAGCTGTATATGTGCCAAATAGCTTACATCGGCATCGCACATGGTGGGAGAGGTAGGTACGAAACCAACCGTTCTTTGCAGTGACACTTTGTATTTAATGAGCTCAAGTAAAAAGGTTTTCTAGGATAGCTAAAAAAGATTATCTGTATGGCTGAAATACTTACCTTTGCTGTAAAAACTCGCTCCCGTTAGGCCTTGGGACCCCTACTGAAGCAGAGGGTCACAATCCTGGTTGGCTAATCCCACCCTTCAGTAGAGTTCATATGAACCAAAGGATGGGCTTTGGGTCAACTGGCTAGTTCAGAGTGAACCCGGAGCAATTATTTTCCAGGAAAGGTAAGTGTTTCAGCTTTTCCACTGCTGATGCTTCATCACAGTAATATAGTTATTTTATATTTTAGTATAGGTCTGCTTTGAAGCCCAACTAAGTTACATATAGATATTAACAGTGGCACACCGTCCATCTTTTCCTCAGCACCACATGTGTGATGAAGAGTGTGGTTATTTGTCATCTATGATAGCCCAGAGCACTGGAGTGGGAGGGTGGGAATCACATGTATATTAAGAACAGAAAGGTATATTAAAGTGACACTAAACTCAGGAGTTAAATCAAAAAAATAAATTTAAGCACCGGAACTACGAACAGAAATGTATCTTATTTGTGTATCACTCGGCTACAGATCCTCCAATCATCTCTGAATTGCTGCTGACACTGTCCTTCCTTCTGGAGGGGGGCTACTTGTGTTCCCCATGTGTGTGTTGTGAAGCAGTCACCGCTCCAAGCTCACTCCCGGGATGGACTACAAGCTCATGTTTAGTTTACTCATTTGTATTGAGATTGTAGTCCATCCCGGGAGCGCGCTTGGAGCGGTGACTACTTTACAACACACACAGGGACCATGGGGAACAGACGTAGCCCCCCTACTGAAGGAAGGACAGTGTCAGCGCCAACTCAGAGATGATTGGAGGATCTACAGCCGAGTGATACACAAATAAGATACATGGTTGTAAATAGTTGGGGTGCTTGAATGTATTTTCAGATTTAGCTCTTGAGTTTAATGTTACTTTAAGGCATTTTCAACCAAAACCCAGTTAAGAACCAACATACCGTAGAACAGGACTATTAAGAGAAAAACAAATCTGAGACTTCATTTGAGCTCTAACTCTCCGGCATAAAGCTTTTTATCATTTAGATAGAATGTAAAATAAATGTATCCCTATACTTTGCTTTATATTCAACTTCCTCTTTACATTATCCAGGAAGACCTCAGATGGATCCCATACAGATGACGTTAGTGGATAACATGTTCATTCAGTTTTGCTTGACTCTCAAGAGGTTTTATCCAAAGGACTTCAAGATTAAATGGTACCGTGAAGAGAGGCAGCCCAGAGAAGGAGTGCGGCAGGGGACCAAGCACACAGAAACAATTACAGAGGATGACGATTTGACATTTTGTGTCACCAGCGAATGTCAGGTTTGGGGCTCCAGCTTTGCAGATCCCCAGTATAAATTGTATGTGACTTGGGAACACGCGTCTTTGGATGGGCCTGAGACCAGAACCTTGTCTGTCAGAGGTGAGCCATTCTTTGGAGGTGACAATATCCCTCTTACACAATAAAATAAGGACAATTTATAATCAACGTGTATTTTTCTCTTCCCTTGTAGATTTTCCCTGGAGTCCAATGTTAGGAAAAATAAATGTCCCAACGCTGGAAGATAACCAAAAGTCCGCTCTGAGATGCCACATCACCGGTTACTTCCCTAATGTTATAACTGTGGCTTGGTTTAAGAGAGAAAGGGGCAAGGTGTCTGCGGCTCCGGTCTCCAGTAATATGGCGGCAGAGATTCTACCACACAAGGACATAAAGGCTTTGTTTGCCTGTACAGCAATTTTGTATTTTACCCCAACTATAGAGGAAGACCAGGGGTCAGAGTTCATCTGTAGAGTGGAGCACCCCAGCCTGGAACAGCCAAGAGAAATAAGTACAGGACCTCTGGAAATAAGTACGCTTTTTTAACCAATATAAGTAGCTACTTCATATACAGTACTTGTAGTTGCCGCCACTTACACAAATATCTGAAGTAACACACTTAAACATCAAAGGCAACTGTTTATGTCTACCCACAATTTGGGTGCTTCTTAAAGGAGAACTATGAGGTGAGTGCTTTTCACTCACCTCATAGTTATAGTCAACCTGTGACAATGAGACTGTCACAGGTCGGCTCAGTAGATCGGGAGGTGAGCGAACACATACCGGCATTCGCTCACCTCTCGATCCTGTCACGGCTCTCTGCCGTGACAGGGGAGGGGCTGGATTCCTCTCTCCCCGCTCCGATCCCCCAGCGCTGACTGGCGGATCGGATGGGGGAGGGGGCGGGTACAGCTGGCTCTGCCTCTAGATAGGGAGAGCCAGCTGTCAGTCACGCAGCTGGGCGGATCCCGGCACAATTGTCGGGATCCGCTTTAGCTGCGCCGTCTCAGTATACAGCGAGCTGTCACAGGTCGGCTCAGTAGATCGGGAGGTGAGCGAACACATACCGGCATTCGCTCACCTCTCGATCCTGTCACGGCTCTCTGCCGTGACAGGGGGAGGGGCTGGGTTCCCCCCTCCCCGCTCCGATCTGCCAGCGCTGACTGGCGGAACGGACAGGGGAGGGCGGTGGGTACAAGTTCCCACAGTGCAGGAATACTTTAGCTGGGCAGTGCAGGAATACTTTAGATAGGCAGAGCCAGCTGTCAGTCACGCAGCTGGGCGGATCCCGGCACAATTGTCGGGATCCGCTTCAGCTCCGGCATCTCAGTATAGCGCGAGCAGCAGCTCGCGGTATACTGAGCCTAGGGTGAGGGGAGGACTCTAGTTTGTGTCCTCCCGTTACCCTAAGGAGAACTATGGGGAAAAGCCTTAACCCCATAGTTCTCCTTTAATGATAACACCCTCCTGGGTAAATCTATACCTAGAATAGGGTGATCACCATATATACATACTGTATTACTTTCTTTTGGGCTGCTTACATGCTGGGCAATATCTAGTTTCCTTTTGCCTAAATACCTGCTATAATAAAAAGTGTGTACCCCCTCTGATCCCCAAAGGCATGTGATGTACCCCAGAGGTGGGGGAGCCGCTGACATTTCAATCTCAGGGGTGGATTCTTAGCTGGGTTGTGGGATGTGAACAGTAAATTGGGCTCCAATCACTTTAAGTACTTTTTAGATGTTTTATTGCCAAAACTGGGAGAGAGTATATAGGGTTCCAGACATCCATGAGCAAAAATAGACTCCTGGCTCACCAGTCCCTTCAAGCTCCCACAGTGCAGGAATACTTTAGCTGAGCAGAGGAAGACACTGTGTAACAGAACCACAGCTGGATAGAGGATGTTCTAAAGATCTTCCCTGGGAGAGACACCAGACTTGTTCCTGAGGTCCATGTCATCTTGGCCTTCCTGGCACCTCCAACAGATAAAGGACTCTTCTTGTTCTCTATCCTAGACAGTACCAGGCCCCTCCTGGGTACACATCTGGCTTCCTGCAGGCTTGATGCCTAGTCAGCTTCTCCAACCTTGTACATCCTACCCCCAGGCTTGGCCCGGGTGCGGGCTGCCCTGAGCACATGGCAATTCCTGAGTATTTACGTTCTTCCCCAGCATGCACCACTGGCCATGAAGCTCCTAGTGTTTGGCTGGTGAGGCATAGACACCCCCAGTGTTTTCCCATTGGCTGCCCCACTCTTTGGAAGGCTCTCATTCTGAGAAATCTCAGAAGTTGTTTGGGAAAGGGATTGTTGCATTGTGTTCAGATATGAAAGGAGAACATACAGCAGCTTTGTTAAGTATTTGGAAAATAATTCATATTGCAGTAGTTTCAATTCAAAAGGTATATATGCTGTATTAGTAGTAGCGGTAATGTTTTTTTTAAAGGATTGGATAACTACATGTTTATAATCACGCTCTATCTTCATTGTATTTATACTGAATCTTGTAATTTCTTTACAGTGTGCTCCTCTAAATGACGGACTCTGAAGATGGATGGATGCAAATTGTATTTTCTGCTCCACATTACAAAACTTTCGGCACAGATGTTTTTCTCTAACAGAAGACATTATATATGCAGAGCACAGGATCTCTGTACACCAATAAATATTTTCTTTAATATGCACTATATGGCCAAAAGTATGTAGACCCTTCTTCAAATGAATGAGTTCCGGTGTCTCTAGTGAAGGATACTGTTAATGTTACAGCATACAAAGACATTTTAGACAATTGTGGGCTTCCAACCTTATTGTAACAGTTTGGTGAAGGTCCTTTTCTGCGTGGGCGTCCCAAGGCCGGGTGCCACCCGGAGCGGTCACCGGGTGACACTCTGCCGTGACGTCACCGTGCACGTGCGCAATGACATTATCACGCATGAGTGGGGATCTTATTGATACCTGCCGGTGGCCATCTTGGTGATGGACGCCGGCAGAGAGAGGAGGGGACAGTTACCCGGCGAAATAAGGTATGCCAGGTCCGCCCCTCTCTCCGAAACTGTCGAACTCTCTGTCCATGAACAAGTGCCCGACTTTTCAGAGGGGGGGGGGTGACACCAAAATGGCTGCCCCTCCAATGGTGTCACCCGGGTGCGGGCCGTACCCTCCTTGTGACGCCACTGCTTTTCTGTCTATCCACTGCATACAAATATAGCTGCATAAAGATATGGCTTGATGAGTTTGGCATGGAGGAACTTGAGTGTCCTGCACAGAGCCCTGACCCCAACCATAACCCTACTGAACACCTTTGGGATGAGCTGAAACACTGGCTGCGTGCATCAGGTCTCCAACATCAGAACTTGACTTCTGAAATGTTGTTTTAAATGGGCACACATTTCCAGAGGCACACTCCAAAATTTTGTGGAAAATCATCCGTGAAGATTGGGGGGCTGTTATAATCTCAAATGGGACCAACTCCATATAAATGCCCATGGTTTTGGAATGGGATGTCCCACAAGCTCATATATAGGTTAGATGATCAAGTGCCCACAAACTTTTGGCCATATGAACTATCTTTCTGTATAATCGGATATTCCATTTAAAAAAAAAACTATATGTTTTATAATATAATTAAAACTTTGTACATAAGAAATTAAAATAAATAAAGTGAACCATAATGATAAATAACGTCTACTATAATGGTTTCTCCAGAATGCCACCAAGCAATGCCAAACTTGTCAACGTCACAACATTAAACCCTAAAACATACTGAAATCTAAAAGATGTGGGGCTTAGGCTTCCCATTTCGAATAAGAAGACCCATCATTGCTATATATAGCTGTCTGTGCATTGCCGGAGGTTCCACTGTAAGGGACACTACCAGAAAATAAGTATAGAATGTAGTAGAGATGCACCGATACCAATACTAGTATTGGTGCCGATGCCGAGTGCTCGTAATCACCCAAATGCTCCGATGCCTAACTTCCAGTATCAGGAAGCCGGGCAGCGAGTCATTACATGCTGCCCGGCTTCCTGATTGGCCGGGAAACCGGCTCCATGCTCCCTCCTCACGAGGCTACACCATTGCACAGTCCATTACTTCAGAAAATGATCCCTTTTTGTAACATTGTTTTATAACCGGCTGATCCTGCCAATAGATCCACCAATATTCCCCCAGTACAACGGGCCAAGCTGTCCAACAAAAATGGTTTTAGGCAATGGCACAAACTATATACTGAAACTGCCAGGGTTGCCTAAAGCAGTCAGCTTTTATTCATATGGTTTATAACTTTTTTTCCCCCAGGAAATAAAGAAAATCCTGATGCAGTAGCTGTTGCTGTATTGTTTTCTAGACTTGGGCTTTAATTTGTTACCTAAAGTCCATGGAAAACTGCATCTCCATCTATGACCACCCTGTCGACAGATGGCAACAATGCTTTGAGATTTCACTGCAGAACAAACAGCATTGTCACTCTGAAAATCCACAACACTCACCGCCTAAATTCTGCAGTCATGTACTGAGGATCCTCCAGGTGCTGTCAAAAAGAGGCTTGCTTCCGCCTGTGGCGTAGTGGTTAGTGCATCTGCCTTGCAGCACTGGGGTTACCTGGTTCGAATCCCAGGCAGATCACTATCTGCAAGGAGTTTCCATGTTCTCCCTGTGCTTGCGTGGGTTTCTTCCTGGTACTGCGGTTTCCTCCCACACTCCAAAGACATGCTGGTAGGTTAATTGGCTCCTCTCTAAGTTGACCTTAGAGTGTAAGCTCCTTGAGGGTAGGGACTGATGTGAATGTGCAACTATGTAAAATGCAGTGTAATTTATTGGCGCTATATAAATAGCTGTATTAAATAATTCATCCAAGAAGAGCCGCACTCTATATCACCTCCTTATGAATCCAAACTTTATTTAAGTCCATAAAACAGCATACACCTTGTAAAGCTCCCCATAGCAAAATAAACTACTCACGCGTTTCACCCACAGGGCTTAGCCATAGAGAAGCACTGTCACCCTGTTACAGGAAGTGGAAAAATAACATCTACTGGTTGGCTCAACAGATCATAAAACTATGTTACAGTAGGGACTACATCATCTATGCTTTTTTTATTTTGCCCAAAGTTTAGTTCCACCTTCAATTTCAAAGTATTGTTATCTTTTTCTGGAATGAAGTAGGAGTGGCCTTCAGAAGAATTAACACTGCCCCTTTAAGAATTATTCCATACTATCACCTTAGATCGATATGACTGCTTTTAAAACTGAAACTACTGTGTGGCGGTTTCTGCTGAGTCTCAGGACTATGGGTCAGAGTACAGTTTGTTTCACAAAGCTTCCGGCTTGCAGACATGGCTATTTTGGGAATACTTATTCTTCTCTTTCTACACCAAACATGTAAGTGGTTATCTATTAACTGAGTTCTGGGAGGGGGTGAGATGATATCCTAGAATTAAATGAAGACAAGCCTCTGATCCATCGTAATACATATGTTCCATGTGGAGCGAGCAGGGGTGGCAACTTTACAACTCCTAAAGCACCAATGGGCATGATTAGGTAAATCATGAGGCTGGAACGTAGGCAT